CATCACCCTCATCACCCTCATCCTCCCCGCAGGCGACGCTGTGCTCCCGCCGCGGCTGTATGGAAGCCATTGTGGCTCAGCTGGGCTCTGACAGCGAGGAGCTGCACCAGGTGGGTGCCGGCGGCAGGGGGCGGGGGGGGGGGCTCTCCCGGGGAGGGGGACGGCCCCTGTGCCCACCCACCCCGCTTTGCCCTCCCAGGTGGTCTCCAGCATCCTGAGGAACCTCTCCTGGCGGGCCGACATCAACAGCAAGAAGGTGCTGCGGGAGGTGGGCAGCGTGACTGGGCTGACGCGGTGCGCGCTGCACGCTGGCAAGGTGAGTGCCGGGGCGGGCGGGAGCGGGCACCGGGGTGACCGGACGGGGGCTGATGGGGCTGTGCGTCCTCCCCCGGGACAGGAGTCTACGCTGAAGAGCGTCCTGAGCGCGCTGTGGAACCTGTCGGCGCACAGCACGGAGAACAAAGCCGCCATCTGCGGGGTGGAGGGAGCCCTGGGGTTCCTGGTGAGCACCCTCACCTACAAGTGCCAGAGCAACTCGTTGGCCATCATTGAGAGCGGTGGCGGCATCCTCAGGAACGTCTCCAGCCTCGTCGCCACGCGGGAGGACTACAGGTGACGGCCGCCGTGGGGTGGGGAAGGCGGCGGGGAGGGGGGGTCAGGGACCGTCCTGATGGCCGAGGGTCCCTCCTGTCCCCGCAGGCAGGTGCTCCGCGACCACAACTGCCTGCAGACGCTGCTGCAGCACCTGCGCTCGCACAGCCTCACCATCGTCAGCAACGCCTGCGGCACCCTCTGGAACTTGTCTGCCCGCAGCCCCCGCGACCAGGAGCTGCTCTGGGACCTGGGGGCGGTCAGCATGCTGCGCAACCTCATCCACTCCAAGCACAAGATGATCGCCATGGGCAGCGCGGCTGCTCTGCGCAACCTCCTCACCAACCGGCCCCCCAAGTACAAGGACACCGCCGTCGTCTCGCCGGGCTCCTGCATGCCCTCGCTCTACATGCGCAAGCAGAAGGCGCTGGAGGCCGAGCTGGATGCCAAGCACCTGGCTGAGACCTTCGACACCATGGAGAAGCAGAGCCTGAAAAGCCAGAGCGTAAAGAAGCCGACGCGGCACATGGAGAGCCTGGTGAAGGACTATGCCTCCGACTCCGGCTGCTTCGATGATGACGAGGTGCCCAACGTCTCCACCGGTGTGGAGACGGCCAGCGCCTCTGTCCTGTCCATGTTCCTCAACTCCTCCTTCCTGCAGGGACAGGCGCTGCCCCGGGTGCTGGCACAGAGACGATGCCCGGAGCCGGAGAAGGACGGCAGCGGCAAACCAGCCGAGCCCAAGAAGCTGCCGCTGCCGGAAGATGACGTCTCGCTGGCTGCCGAGAAGCTGGCCAACAAGATCTCTAGCACGGTGGCCAAGATTGACAAGTTGGTGGAGGACATCTCTACCATGCACACATCCTCAGATGACAGCTTCAGCCTCAGCTCGGAGGACCACTGCCTGGACTGGCAGTATGGCCCCGAGGAGGTGCACGAGGCGCGCGCCCAGTCCTGCTCGCCGTGCCGCCTCTCGGATGCCGGTGGCTTTGCCAAGCGGGAGAGCCTGAGCCGGGCGCACACGCTGCTGCGGCTGAAGACCGCCTACACCAGCCTGTCCAACGACAGCCTCAACAGCGGCAGCACCAGCGACGGTTACTGCACCAAGGAGCACATGAAGCCCTGCACCAGAGCCGCCTTCCTCGACTACCGGGATGAGCTGCAGCGGTACCAGAAGCGGCCGAGCCGGCTCGACCTCAAGAGCATCCTGGGCAGCAAGCTGGAGCGGGTCGAACCCCCCATGCTCAAGGGCAAAGACCCAGCCGAACCGGACAAGCCGGAGCAGCGAGACCTGCCTGAACGGGCCAAGAAGACGGTGACTTTCCCCAGCCCCAAAGTGCTGGAGAAGGAGCCCGAGTGGAAGAAGGAGGCGGGCAGCAAGCTCTCCCCCGACCCCCAGGTCCGCACCATCAAACTCTCCCCGTCCTACCAGCACGTCCCCCTGCTTGAGACCCTGGCCAAGAGCAACGCGGCCACCGGCGCCGGCCACCACCCCTCCCTCCTGGGCAGAAAGCAAGCCTGGCTCCCCCCCACGCTGCTGCAGACGGCCGAGACCTTGAGCAAGATCCCGGAGAAGCTGCCCGCCCACCCACTGGCCACGGCGGAGCAGGAGTCGGTGCAGAAGTACTCGGTGGAGGATACCCCAATCTGCTTCTCCCGGTGCAGCTCCCTCTCCTCCCTCTCCTCAGCAGACAACGTGCTGGACGGGCAGAGCCACAGTGAGAACGACCTGGACAGTGACTCCTCCCTGGAGATCCTGGAGATGGAGGAAGGGGATGGGGAAGGTGAGGATGGGAGGCAGGAGAAGGAGAAGGCAGCAGATCCAGGTCCGGCCACGCTGGTGGGGATCTCCCAGCCCATCACCATCCCCTTCCCAAAGCGCGACAAGGTCTTCCTGCGGGAGTCGTCGCCATCACGCCAGGAGGACCTCACGCCCTCGAGCTCCTCGGAGAACTACATCCAGGAGACGCCACTGGTGATGAGCCGCTGCAGCTCCGTCAGCTCCCTGGGCAGCTTCGAGAGCCCCTCCATCGCCAGCTCCATCCAGAGCGACCCTTGCAGTGAGATGATCAGCGGCACCATCAGTCCCAGCGAGCTGCCCGACAGCCCTGGGCAGACTATGCCACCCAGCCGCAGCAAGACACCCCTCTTCGAGCTGGGCTGCCAGCCGGAGAAGGAGACCAGCCAGTTCAACATCCAATGGGAAAACAACGTCAAGAAGTTCATGGAGATCACCGACTTCAAGGAGCGCTTCCAGCTGCCCCAGGACCTGGACTCCATGGTCTACTTCACGGTGGAGAAGCCCAACGAGAACTTCTCCTGCGCCTCCAGCCTGAGCGCCCTGCCCCTCCACGAGCACTATGTCCAGAAGGACGTGGAGCTCAAGCTGATGCCCACCTTCCCAGAGAAGAACAGCCTGAATTTCGTGGCTCACGAGAAGCGGGAGGAGCGGCGGGAGGAGCGGTACCTGGAGGGCCGGCGGCGGGCCGACCGCCCCGAGCCCCCCTCCGACGATGACATTGAGATCCTGAAGGAGTGCATCAGCTCCGCCATGCCCTCCCGATTCCGCAAGGTGAAGACCTCCCTGCTCTCCGGTCAGGTCCTGCACCCCCAGACAAAGAAACCAGTGCACGTCCCTGTCTACATGCTGGTGCCAGCCCACGCACACCCCGGTGTCCCCAAGCACCTGCGTGCCACCGCCCGTGACCTCTTCAAGGACGACGACTCCTTCACCGACTCGGCCGACGGGACCCCCGTCAACTTCTCCAGCGCCGCCTCGCTGAGCGATGAGACCCTGCGCTACCCGGCTGCCGAGGAGGCTGAGCACCCTCACGGCCCGGGGATGGGGTGCCCGGCGGGGGTTCTACCCGAGGGGCACCGCGAGGTGGCCAGCGCCGGCACCATCCCGGCCAGGAGAGCCGCCTCCGGCAGCTCGGCGCCTGCCCGGCTCAGCTCAGCCTGCAAGGGGAAAGCGGGGCTGAGCCGTGGCCAAGGCGGGGAGGGGAAGCGGGGTCAGCCCCCCACAAAGAGTGGACCCAGCCTGGAGCTGGAGGTAGGGAGGACCGGTGGTCCCCCCGCGAGGAAGGATGCTGCCCGGGAGGACGGGGTGGCCTTCCAGTCGCTGTGCCACACCACCCCGACGGAGGAAGCCGTCTACTGCTTCTACGAGCAGGACTCGGACGAGCTGCCCGAGGCGGGCAGGGAGGCGTCCGGCAGCAGACCCCAGCCCAGCCGGGCGCCCAGGAGGGAGCGCTGGGGTGGCTCCGTCCCCCGGAACGAACCTGAGCCTGGTCCCCGGCCGGCAAAGGCGAAGCCGCAGAACAACCTCATCGCCGACGAGACGCCGCCGTGCTACTCCCTCAGCTCCTCCATGAGCTCCCTGAGCGACACCAACCTCTCCGACGGCGAGGAGCGGAGCCAGCCCTGCGGCAAAGCCCCCCGGCCGCGGTCGGCCACGGTGGCGGGGCAAGCACAGGGGCGCTCCCCCAGGTCCCCCAGCCTCAACTCGGAGGACGACCTGCTGCAGAAGTGCATCGGCTCGGCCATGCCCAAGCGCCGGCGGCCCTCGGCTCGCCGGAGGATGGCGGAGCGCAAGCAGAAGCTGCCAGGTGCCGGCGGGAGGGAGCGGAAAGCGGAGGCGAGGCATTGCCCTGCCGAAGACACCGGCTCCGACCGGGGCTCGGACCTGGACAGCGTGGAGTGGCAAGCCATCCAGGAGGGTGCCAACTCCATCGTCACCTGGCTGCACCAGGCTGCTGCCTCCCTCTCGCGGGAGCCTTCCTCTGAGTCCGACTCCATCCTCTCCTTCGTGTCGGGGCTCTCGGTTGGGTCCACCCTGCAGCTCTCCCTGGGCAGGCAGGAGAAGAAGCGAGCCAGCAGTGCGGCTGGCCGGGATGCGGCGAGGAGGGAGCACAGCAAGAGCCGCCCAGAGAGGAAGGATGCGCCGGGTGCCCGTCCCGCTGGCCGTGGAAGCGCCAGGGCGGAGCGGAGCCCGGCGCCCACCAAACCGGTGCCCAACCTGCCCGTGGTCTTCCGCGGCAGGACCGTCATCTACATGCCCAACCTGGCCAAGGATGGCCCCAGCCCGCGGGCCACCCTGAAGAAAAGCCCCGCGGCGAAGCCCGAGGCGCCGCCGGCCAAGAACCTCTCCCTGAGCCAGCAGCGCTCGCGGAGCCTGCACCGGCTGGGCAAGCCCCCCGAAACCGGGGACCTGGCGCTGCCCAAGAGGAGCACCACGCCGCCCGCCCGCATCGGCAAGGGACCCCCCTCCTCCGGCTCCTCCCGCACCTCCACCCCTTCCCAGCACGCTCCCAAGAAGCTGCCGTCGCCCTCCCAGCTCGCCAAGCAGGGTAACCCAGCCACGGGCAAGGCGGGCGGCTCGTCCTCCCTGCCGGGACCCCCAGCCAGAGCCCCAGCCCCCAAGTCCCCAGCGCCCAAGCAGTCCAAGACGCAGAAGTCACCCGTCCGCATCCCCTTCATGCAGAAACCCAGCAGGAAGGTGCTGCCGGGCCGGGGGGCCATGCCGGTGCTGGAGGAGCGGGCGGATGGCGGCAAGGCACGGGGCAGCGGGGGGCCGGGGGGGCCGGGGGCCAGCCGGCTCAACCTGGTGCGGATGTCGTCCGCCCGTTCCAGCGGGAGCGACTCAGACCGCTCTGGCTTCTTGCGCCAGCTCACCTTCATCAAGGAATCCTCCAGCCTGCTGCTGCGGCACCGCGCCGAGCTCTCCCCGCCGCAGCCGGCGGCCTCGCTGCCTCGCCGAGCCTCCCCGCAGCGCAGCCGTGCTGCCCTCCCGGCCGTCTTCCTCTGCTCCTCCCGCTGCGAGGAGCTCAAGGCGGCCAAGCCGGCGGCCCCCAGCCCACGACCCCTCGTCCCCAGAGCCCAGCCCGGTGGCAAAGTCCCCGCCGGCGTCAAGCCGCCACGGAGGACCAGCTCCGAGAGCCCGTCCCGGCTGCCGGTGAAGACCAGCATCCCTGCGCCCGAGCCCTTCAAGAGGTACTCATCCTCACCCAACATCAGCGTGGCGCGGAGGACGGGCAGCCCTTCCTCCGTCCTCTCTGCCCGCTCCGAGGCTTCGGCACGGCGGCAGCAGACCGAGGCAGTCCCCGGTGGGCAGCCGGCAAAGCTGCCGGTGGTGGTAATGAAGGGCACCTGGCGGAGGATTCGGGATGAAGACATCCCCCACATCCTCAAGAGCACGCTGCCTTCCTCCGCCCTGCCGCTGGCAAGTGCCGGCGAGGAGGAGCGTCCCGGCACCCCCAGCCCCAGGAAGACCAGCGACGCCGTGGTGCAGACCGAGGACTTCTCCGCCGCCAAGACCAACTCCAGCACCTCTCCCACGCTGGAGACCCGCGAGGGACCTCCACACCCCCGCGCCGCCTGCGATGGCGAAGCTCCGGCCCCCGCCAAGACCGCCCTGCCCATCTCCTTTGGCCATGAGGCAGCCGCCGGGACCTTCCCCGCCAGCCGGCACGGCTCCCCGAGCAGAGCCGCCCGCGTCACCCCCTTCAACTATGTCCCCAGCCCCATGGCGGTGACAGTGGTGGCGGACAAGGCGGTGGAGAAAATCCAAGCTTGAGCAGCTGCCGCGGATGAAGCCCCGGCAAAGGTCCCGCGACACTCCCCTGCCCCACGGGAGCTGGCCAGGGCTGTGCCGGGGAGGGGGGGGGCGGTGATGCGGGACCGCCGGGGACCGGCAAGTCACCCCAGCCCGCTGCCTGCCCTGGTTGGGGTCTTGCCGTACTGGAGCGTCACGGTTCTCAGTGCCGAGGACCGAGCAGAGCCGGGGAGACCCACCAGGCGCTGGGGCCAGGGCTGATGCCCCAGCCTGGGGTGAGTCTCCATGGCCGTCTCTTCCCACTGATGAACATCCCGGGACAAGCCAAGGGGAGGCCGTGTCCCCGTGTGCCCCCATCCTGCTCGCCTGCCTCGGGCAGAGGCTGAACCAGGGCCTGATCCTGCACGCCGGGGAGTCGGCACACCGCGCCCCAACGCCAGGTCTTCGCCGCATGCTTCAGCTTGTCTCGGCACCAACACCTGGCTCTGCCGGCAACCACAGCTCATTTATTAATGGGGGGGGAAGGGAACGCACGGCTGGATCAACGCAGGGAGAGGCTTCGTGCGGGGAGAGCATGTGGCCGTGGGGACACAGGGGCCAGGACCCCCCATTTGTGCTGCTGGAGACTCCTAATTAAGCTGCGTGGCTGATTGCTAATGGGTAACCTGCAGCTGTGGTGCTTGCACTGGTTCAAGGTGGCATCGGGTGGAAAAGGCACGGGGGGAGCTGGGCAGGGGCTCGCTGGTGGGCAGTCGGGGTCCCGACAGGCTCGTCCCAAGGGGGCTGCTCGCAGGGTCACATCACCGGGCTGGGGAGCTGCCCTGGGAGGGGATGGGGTGCTGAGCCGGCACGGGGGTGCCCAACCCCTAGGAAAGGGTCTGGGGCCCCTTACCGCCACCCGCAGCCCCCCCAGCCTCCCACCCCTGGGGTGGAAGAGCCCCATCCCAGCTCACAGCCAGGATCCCGGGGCATCCCCGCGGGCCGCGGACACGAGTCCATCGAGGACTGGATTACGCCCACGAACACGGAGGTTTCCAGCCCCAATGTACTGGGGATGCCCCTGCTCCTGCTGCCAGCTGGCCGAGATTGGGGTGTGCGAGAAAAGCCTCAGCCCCAGGGAGTGGGACGAGCTGCTGTGGGACCCCCCCCCATCCAGGTGCTCCCCAACCCCCCCCAGGTGCTCCCCAACCCCTTGGGTGTCTCCCCATCCTCCCACCCTATGGCTCACTGCCTGCTTTGGATGGGGTGACCTATGGGCCCCCCCTCCCACATACTAGTGCCATGGTGGGGGCTGCAGGAACACGCATGGGACAATGGGGACATGTGCAGGGGACACAGGGGTACACCCGGGGGGGTGGGGACATAGCGAGGGGCTCTGGGGAGTTGCACCGGGGCTGTGGGGATGCGCAGCGGGGCCACAGAGGTACCCACGGAGGCCAGGGAGACACCAGGGCTGTGGGGACATGGATGGGGTCCCCGGGGATGTGCACTGGGGGGGGTGTGGGAATGTGCACACCCCAGTGCCCACTGGAGACCATGGCTCCGGCAGCGAATGGGAGGCTTCAGCCAGCACAGTGGGACCCAGTGCTGGGGCTGAAGAAAAGGGGGCAAAGTCCCCGGGGGCGAAACGCGTCCCCGCTCCCAAGTGCCATAACCGATTGTAGGATGTGCCAGGAGGGCCAGAATCGCCCCACGCGCTCGGCTGCGGCCCCGGGTTCAAGCCCCACTGCCCAGCCCTGCTCTCGCCCGTCTCTGCTCCATGCGTGCCCGTGGGCTTCAGCCCTCCTCTGCGGACAATCCGGCCAGGTTTCGCGGTGCCCTGCTCCCCCCCATCGCTGTATGTATGTACTAAGGATGTTATTTTACCGGGACTCTGGACAGTATTAAGAATTAAAAGCCAACCTGTGTAAATAGGACGGGGTGGTCTGTCTGTCCCGTGCGCCCGGGCTGGGGGGAGCCGCAACCCCTCCGCAGCGTTTTCCGGATCCAGTTCTTGTGCTTCACAGCCGAGGTGGCGACCGGCGGCTTGAAAGGGTCGGTGACGTCCGGGCTGGTGAAGGACAGCACGCCGGCCACCGCCGCCCGTTTCCCGCACACCAAGGGTCCCCCGGAGTCACCCTGGGTGGAGGTGACAGTGGGGAGTGGACCCCTACCAGGGGCCAGGGACCCACCCACACACACACCCACACACAGCTCGGGGGGAGCATCTCGCCTCTCTGCTTGGGGTGAGCATCCTCCTCAGAGTCCCCCACACCCGGGAACGGCAGCTCGGGGGGGACGACAGAGCTTTGCAGCCGGTTGGTCCCCTTGCAAAGACCTTTGCCCCCTGCCAGCTCCTCACCTTGGAGGGTGCCGAGCCCCTGTGGCGTCCCTGGAAGCAGATCATGGTGGGGGCAATGTCACCGTTCCAGAAGCGGCTGTTGTTGCACATCCGCGTGTCCAGCACCGTGACCTCCAGCTCCTGCAGCGTGGGCGAGAGCCCGCCGTGCCTGCGGACCCCCCAGCCCGCCAGGCTGCACTCTGTCCCGGCCGTCGGCTCCAGCCCCAGCAGCCTGATGAGCCGCCGCGTCCTGCTCAGCGTCACCTTCCCCTCCAGCTGCGGGCAGGGGCGGCAGGCAGCGTCGGACCCCCCGCCACGGCCGGAGAGGGGCTGGCGGAGAGCACCCCACTGCAGCGGGTGGGCGGCCGAGGGGGAGCGCCGAGCGGGTGCAGCGCCCGTGGGAGCGGGAAGATGTCACCGAGATGTGAAAGTGCTCGGAGGTGAGAAGAGGAAATGTCACCCAGCCCTTCGCTGTGGCTGCACCAGCTTGGCGTGAACCCGCTCAGCCCCCCTCTCTGGCAGCGCTTCCCGGCACCACCGATGGTCACGCTCCTCCAGCCCCATGGCAAACCCTTCCCCGCGGCCGGCGCGAGCCCCACCTGGAGCAGGAGAAGGTCATTTTCCATCGTCTGGCGGTCGTAGCCGGGGTGGGGACACACTGCCCGGATGGGGAAGGTCTGCGTGGCCGCCCCACGCTTCTGCAGGCTGTGCAGCCCCACCACCGCTGTCCCGATGACGCTTGTCCTGCCCCACAGCAGGAGCCGGCGTCGGTGGGAGCCCGGTGCCGGCCACGTGGAGCCCCACCAAAACCCCCATCCCTGCGCTGGGCAGGATGCGGCCGCTCCAGACTCACCTCTGAGGGAAGCAGTGGGCGGCTGTCAGCACCCACCGCTTGTGCAGCAGCGCTCCCCCGCAGGCGTGAACCCCCCCAAACTGGATGGACACCATGTAGGGCCTGGAGTGGGGTTTGGCCTCACGTCCCCCGATGACTGATGGCCGGAGTCGGCCCCACGCTGCCGGGGAGAGGAGATCCTGTCCCGGTTGTGCCGCCGCCAGTTGGCTGCCCCACCAAAAGGGAAAAGCCGAGGGTCCCCAACCAGCACCCCCTGTCCCCCCAGCACATCCAGCAACCCAATCCCTGCAAGCCGGCTGCCACCCCCCCTGGCCAGTGATGCCAAGACCCCACCGGCCACCCCAGACCCACCACCCCGGTGCTCACCCGGCTCGGCCAAAGGGAGAGTCAGCAGCAGCAGCAGCAGCCGCCCCAGGCTGCCCCTCACCCCCATCCCTTGCCCGCTGCGGGCTGGCAGCACCCTCCTGCTCCGCATCCCTCCGCGGCAGTGATGCTGCCGCGCTCCACGCCGAGCTCCAAGGTGGCAGAGGAGGTGCCACGTCATGTGTGAAAGCGGTGCAGGGTGGCAGCGGGGCACGGACCCCCGCTAAGAGGTTGGGGGGGGCAGGAAGGGGAAGAGACACCCACAGGGTAACACCTGCAGGGGTGGAAAACCACCCACAGCGACCCCGGTGCTCCCTGGGGTTTTACTTTGGCTTTACTCCCTCCTCGCCAAGCTAAGCGGGGGCGTGTGGACAGAAAGTCACACCTTCAGTTCTCTGAGAAGGGTTTTTAATGAGATTTCTGACAATCCCCAGCACTGTTGGGGTTCCCACCACCTTTATTAGCAGTACAGGACAACTCTGCTCCCGCCACCATCGCTGCGGGGCCATCGGCCCCGGTCCCCACACAAGCTGCAAAACCAGCCCCTGGCCCCCCACAGTCCCTCAGCGTTTCGCTTTGGAGGAGGGGGAAGGCTTGGCTTTGCTTGTTGTCGAGTGGGAGATTCTCAGGCTATCTACAAGCCTGTCAAAGAAAAACTCGGTCTGGTACTCCAGCTCAATGAGGTGCTGCAGGAAGGGAGGCACCTCGGCTTTCTTCACACCCACGTACACGGGGATCATCTTGGTCCCGTGGTGGTGGATGATGTGATAGAGGTTCCACTGAGAAACGCGCTGGCACCATGGGTCGCCCAGGGACTTGGCGGAGAGGAGGAGGATGGCCACCCGGCTGGCCTCGATGACCTTGATGGCGGTCAGGACAACAGACGTCCCAGCCACTTGGTCCTGGTGCTCTGCGTAACCCCGAAAGCCCTCTTTCTTCAAGCGCTCTGAGATGCGGGAGGCGATGTCATCATCCTCGGGGCAGTACCAGATGGAAAAGTCATAGGTGAAGCCGCAGCGTGAGGGCGCAGACGACATGCCACCCACCGGGGACAAGGACCTCAAGTTCATGGACAGCAGGGGCCAAACGTGGGGGCTGAGCCTTTCCTCCCACACCAGGAACCTGCCGCCGTGCCCGGACAGCCCCTCGCCAGCACGGGCAGCAGGTCCCGCGGCTCCCCGGAAAAAAGTCAGGCTGCCAAGGCGGCCCAGCCCCGGCCCTCCTGCACGCCGGTGAAGTTGCCGGCAAGCCGCAGCAACGCCAGATCCTCCCGTAAATCAAACGTAAACGGTTCTACCCCCGATTCGAGCAGCCCTCAGAAAGCTTTCTGCCTCATTTCTGAAATGCCGCGCTCCAGCGCCGCTCCCGCCCGTCGCAGCTCCTCGCACTGCTCCCGCAGCCGCTCCCGGGACTCCTGCAGCCGCTGGTTCATCTCCACGTAGGAACGGCTCTGCCGGTACAGCCGCTCCCTCTCCTCCGCGGCGGCCTCCTGCCTGGTGGGGCCGGGGGAGCCTGGCAGGGGGCAGAGCAGGGGCGGGGGGCTCAGCGGGGGCCGGTGGAGCCCCCGCTACCACTCTCCCCCCATCCAGAGACTCACCTGGAGAGGGTCCGTGGTCCTGGCGAGGCTCCGCGGGGAGGAGGAAGACGGGGTCGGCCGGGTGGGTGCCCCGCACATCGGCCAGGATCTGCTCCACGCTGGGGGGCTCAGGGCGGGTGGGCAGCACCCGCTTGGCCTTGGAGCTCATCACGGGGGGGCCTCATGCGCGGGGGCTGG